CAAATCTTCAAGTGGGAGATTGTTGAAAATTAAACCAACTTTCAGTGGAAAGTTGGATTTAATTAATCCACCGAATGGCAAATGTCAAAAAGGGTGGATTTGTGTTGAAAAGTAACAATGGTAGAAATGCACTTTTAGTCATTGTAATTTAGGGTATTTACAAATTAGTCCTTAAGCTTCAACTATAAATACCCTAGCTCATTTAGCTTCAAAACCATCCCAAAGCATTTTAGCTTTCTTCAAATACTAGAGAGAATTTAGAGAGTTTCTTGAGAGTTGTTTTCTCCTTTTTATCAAGAGAAAACTATCATTGTTTTCTCCTTGGTAGATCGAGAGAGGTTGTAATTCCTATTTTCTCATAGTGAAATTCTTCTACCGTTGCCCGTGGTTTTTACCCTAATTTTTTTTAGGGATTTTCCACGTAAATTTTGTGTCTCTTTTATCTTTATTTTTATTTTCTCAAATTATCAGTTGCGACTTTGCTCTATCCGATAGCCGTCTTCCGCAACACTTCTAACATTGGAGTAGCATAAATCACGGTAAGAACGAAAGGATCCATCACACATACTTCACAACACAATGGACCACTTACTAAAATGAGAAAATTACATCCATAACAACATCTTGATCTTCCCAAGCAATCCGAATTCCGTCAGAAAAACCAATCGGATTGACGATATGAACTTTCGAGAAACTAAGTTTCTTAGCGATACGTTGAGCGGTCCTGCCAGAAACACGAGGCTCAACCACTGCAAAGATACTAGGTTTATGAGCTTTAATCATATCCCGAGCATTCCACATACATAAAGTCTTTATTTCCAATACATCGAAAATTCCACACAAGAACATTCATTAGCAAATAGTGGGGGTAGTCTCAAGTTGGATATGCTCACTTGAGGGAACATTTGCATCAAAATCCATAATAATGTTGCCCGGAGAGGTCTCACCGTGAGGAATGAGAATAACATAACCACTACCATCTCTTGCCTGTGAAACAAGCCAACCATCAAGGCGTTTAAATGTTCTTTGATCCGAAAATTTTGGTCAGTAATCACAATGGCATCTCCCATCGTGATATCATTATCAACAACATTATCCATGCAGTCTAAAGCCGCATATCATTGGTACGTGGAGAACATGCACGTGAAACCAATGAGTTATTTTCATATAGATTTTTAGTGGTTACATGAGATTTCTCTACCATCACCTTGGGTTTTTTCCTTAATTAATGAAACATTAGGTCTATCAATGTCTTTCACAATCGGGGTTTTCAATCTTTTACCTTTAGCCATCTGTGTCGATTTGGAGTTATGACCCCCTCCATGATTGACGCTTGGGGACTGGTCAATAGAGATATTTTCCATATTAGCCTCCTTCTCGTCTAGGGATATATTTAAGGGAGCAAATCTTGACCCAAAATTGGATCCACCTTGATTGTTTCCTTTCCCAACTATTTCTTCTTGATTCCTGGTAATCTTACTCGATTTACAGCGTTGGGCGATCATCCAAGGGCCAAAGGCAGATTCTCCAGATATATTGGTTTCCTTAGGAATAGTTTTCTTACTTCTTGAGTCATCGTTTGCCGACTTGTGGCCGGTTGGTTCTGTTTGCACAGTCTCGTGGCCATCCCTCATGGGTGCTTGTATTGAAAATGAAGAACAATCCATGTGTCCAAATTTTCCACAATGGAAGCAAATTAGTGGTAATCCCTCATATTCCACTGAATACCATCTCTCTTCAACTTCAATTTTTGGCACAAGTGTTTTTTAAAGTCTACTTCAACACAAACCCGAGTAAATCTACCTTTTGAAGCATGGTAGTATTCAAATCTACATTTAAAGCACGCCCAAGGGTATTTCCCATTTGCAAAAAAAGCATTCGTTCGTTGTAATAATGTACCGAGAGATCAAGGAAGCGAGTCCACACCATAGTAGAGTCAATGGTGGTAGATGACGGGTGGAAATCTGCAAACCACTTACGAGGTAGTGGCCATAGATAATCCATGGTCCTTCAAGGGAAAATCTTAAGATCATCCAAAGAAGAAAACTTTATTAGGAAGTAGCCATCTCCAACATAGATTAGTTCATACCCTTTGGCATCCGCATCTTCTTGATTCATTCATCCAATGTTCGAAAGCCAATGGACTTCTCTAGCAGTTTTAAAATCAAACAGTTGGACCATCTAATATGCAGACTTGCTCAGAATCTCTCTAAGGTGCTCAAAGACGGGCAAGAATCTTTACATCCCACCGTTATTAGACCATCATTCTTATCAATGGGACCGAATTCATCATACTCCTGAAAACAATTGATCAAACTTTTATTAGGGTTTCAAATCGCGGTCGAGTTTTCGGTTATTTCGGATTTACCGTGATTGCGGCCATCGCGGGCACTATTGTGGTTGTCGCGGACGCTATTGCGGCCGTCGCGGATAACTCGGACGGCGGCGAAACCATTATATCGCGGCCAATTTTTAAAACCCTGCCTAAGAATGTGTTGTGAAGAAGGTTTCTCCAATCCAGCCTTGTCCGCGTTATTCGAATGGTTTTCCTCTTCCATTCTGACTTCCAAACCACTCATTGTAGAATCTGATGCTTTTATTTTTTCTTACTTCTCATCAGTTGATCATGTTCTTGATCTGTTCTCTCCTCTGTTCTCTCCATCAATTTTAATTGGAAAAAAAGTTAATTGGTAGTGTTTTGATACAGAATGATAAGTTCAAGTACTAGAGTAGACAGCAAAATAATATTGGGTAGACTACACATTTAGTACTTAAACTATCAGTTTTAGTCTATTTTAATATCTAAACTTTAATTTTTTTTCAAAATCATGTCTACGTTTAGTTTTGTTTCATTTTAGTACTTGCCATTAAATACTTATGCGTTTAGTACCTAAATAATCAATTTTGGTCTGTTTTAGTACATAAATTTTCATTTTTTTTTCAAAAGTTGATATTAAATTTTGAATAAGAGTACTAAAATGAAACAAAAACTAAACTTTAGGTATGATTTTGAAAAAATTGAAAGTTTAGGCACTAAAATATATCAAAACTGATAGTTTAAGTACTAAACTTATAATTCACCCATATAATTCACCCAAAAAATTTGATACTAGAGTAAGAGAATATGCATAATTGAGGGGTTAAATAAAATATTTATAATAGTTTAGATATTTTATATTTTAATCTTACAACAAAAAAATTATACTATTTTTATTTAAATTTTTAATCCTTTTATTAATTTTTATTTAATTTTATCATTAATTATTGACGCAACTATAAAAAAAATAAAAATAACTTTATTGATCTCTTTCGTTTATAATTATGGGGCTACAGTAGTTATTTATTTATTTTATTAACTCGTTAGTATCTCCATCGGTGGAAGAATCTACAACGTAAATAGTATATCGTAACATATGATTAAAGTGATTTATTTTATTTTAATATTAAAAAATAAGGATTTATGTAAAATTAATCATTAATTAAAATTTTATTTTATTTTTAATATAATTATAATTTAATAATTTTTTTATTAAATAATAATAATTAATTTGAGTGATTTAATTTGTTTAGAATTAATTTTTTTAGGGTGGTCATCAACAGCATCACTGTTGGAGTCAAAAACTCATTGAAAAACAGTTGACAACAAATCTAGCGCTGCCGTCACCCAGTTTGCGTCGCTTAGATCGTCGTCGTCCAGTTCGCCGTCGCGAAGGAACAATAGAGTCAGCCTTCAACCCGCGATTGTTTCCATTATTTTTACTTGCGTTGACCTTCGAAAAATTAACTTGCGATCGTCGGTCATCCGTCTTCAAACTCCGACTACCACCACGACTTCTAAACACTATTAGTTTTTAATCGTCTTCGCGTGTAATTTCCTCTGCAAGAAACTCGTCGATCGTCTTCTTCCTTTGCACGACTGTTGCAGGTTAGTTTTAGTTTTTCTTTTTGAATAGTTAAATTACATTACAACTCCCCTTATTTGTGTATTATTTTCGAAGGTTAAATTGCATGGGGCCCCCCACCACCCCATTATTTGTCCCATTTTAAATTTTAGACAAACACATGTCTGTTTTAATAGACATGATTAAATTACACTATCCCCTCCCATACTCTGTTTTAATTTAAATGGTCAAATCTCATGAGAACCCCCCATAGTTTCTCCCATTTAGATTTTAGCAAACATATGTATATGTTTTAATAGACATGCTAAATTACACTACCCACCCCATACTCTTTTAATTTAAATGATCAAATTTCGTGAAAACCCCCCGCACTTTACCCTGTTTAGATTTTAGACTTCTAGGTTTTAAATTTTCTATAATTTTTAATTTATTTTTATTTTGATAATTAATTTCAAATTTATAATTTAATTTTAATTAATAATAATAATAATAATAACATTTTAATTTATTCATGAAATTAATTAAATTAAATTAATAAATTAAATTGAATTGAATTAAAGATTAATTAATTAAAAACGATTATTTTTTAATAAAAATCATTATTAAATTATAATTCTATTAAAAATAAAATTTCATTAATAGTTAATTTTAAATAAATCATTATATTTTTAATTATTTACATTAAAAAACAAATTTACTTATAATACGCTTTAATACATCACTTTAGTAATACATTGCAAAGAATTTTCTCTCCATCAGTCTACTGTTTATCTCCATCAGTCCACTGTTTATCAGCAACGATCAACAATGACATGATTCGATAATCAAGCCACGTGTTGTATTTCAAAACCAGTTAAGTACCAAAAACAGAAAAGAAAATTAAAGTCCAAATTCCCACAAACCTGTTACATGATCTAATAATAATCCAACCACGTTAAACAACGATTAGCAGCTTGTTGATCATTGGTAATGTTTGGAGAATATTGGACCAACATAGTCCCAAGGGAACTCGACCATAATAAAAAACAATAAAATGAAGCAAACATGATGGGCACAGTTGAATGCACACAAGTCATTAAGCTGGAAATGGGTAACAAAAGAAAACATAAAGAATTTCAAATAAGACTCAAATTCCCATAAAATGCACAGCGCTCATGATTATTCAAATGCATATAGGATAAAACAGCCAACATCATGTAAAAGACAAGCCCCAAACATAATACCATGTAGATTCGACAGATAGGCAACAGCCAATTACAATAGGTAACCAACTTAATCAGACAGGGCTTAGCAATTGATAAAGCTGGGGTTTGGGTTCAGAGTTCATGCCGATGATGATGACCAGTGGAATGAAGCCATAGTGTGTTACCACTTTGGCTTTCTTCATAGCCCATGTGCTCCACTCTTTCAAGCACCGTGCAGCTGATTTCTCATCCGACCCCTTAGATCCCTTCCCTCCTTTGCCTTTAGTCTTTAGAGAAACTCTAGATGCCATTAAAAAGTGTTTATTTTTCCCTGGACTCTTTGAAGATTTGTCAGGATAAACCCATTGCATTATAGGGAGAGAGCAGCAATTAGTTCAGTAATTTTAGAAAATACTCAATACACAAAAGCTGCGAAAAGGTAAAAATTATCTAGAAATGTTGAAAACAAAGAAAACGAATTAATCATTGAACTATGCTCAAATAATCATTTTAATAACAAAATAGCTTTCAAATAATCATTTTAGTCGTCGTACTTTCAAAGGTTACAAAATAATTATTAAATTTATCTAATTATTACAAACCGTCACTTGAAGCAGGGACAGAGCCATTCTTTGTATGGGAGGAGCAACAACCCCTCCCAAATATTTTGGTATGATAACATTCTATGTTTCTTTTAGTTTAAATATTAATCAAATAAGACCTTTACCCTTCCCAATTTTATGATTTAAATATTTAATAGACCTTAGCTCCTCTCAATGTTCAATCCTAGCTCCGTCCCAGCTATGAAGTCATAAAAAGTGTAAGAGTTCAATAACTGTAATGATCATTTTGTTAAAATTTTGATAAAATAACAGTTAAAATATATGATCACATCGACGTGAAAATTAAAGAAGAATTATTTCAAACAAAAATTATAATTGAAGTTTCATGATTAACAATAAACAAGTTTCACCAAGAAAATAATGAATGAGGATCATGTTTTAAACAAGTTATAGATCAAACCCCAAATATCCAAATTCAAAACATTCAGAAAACCCGAAAGAGGGATATCAAAGGATATGTTTTAGATCAAGTTCACAGACAAAACACGATAACACCAAGAAAGAAATGTAATTAGCCAATTCAAATCCTGTCCAAGATAGCTTCACCAGATTCTTAATTTTTGCCATACGTATCTTTAATTCGTAGCTAATTTAATCTCAAATCAATAACAACCATATTAGTTTCGAAAGAGGCAAAAACACTTGGAAGCGCAATGGAAGCCTTGCAAATTATCAAAAAAGCACTACGAGGAGGTAATTTCATGATAGAAAATGGAAAAGCATAATCACAAGAAATCAACTACGAAAGGCTCGTTCAATGCTTACCTCTACAACGGGCCTTTAGGAAGCCAAGGAAGATTGCTTGGCTCGAGGATTCGTGAGAAGAAGAAACGGAACGGTGGATGAGAGGAATGAGGGCTTTAAAACGAAGGGAATACACTCTGTTAGGGTTCGGTTGCATTATTACTTTATTATCCTTGTAAAGTAAATATAAGTTTTGGTGCTTGGACTTGGATTCAGTATTCAATTAGGTACCTATGTTTTTTTTTTTTTTTTGCGACAATTATTCTGAATTTTCTCTCTTGGTATTAATTTTAACTGCAACTTTAAGTGTATAGAGCTGATATTATTTGCATAATCGGTGATAAATCATACATCACGTTGTTGACATTGGTGACGGTATCATACATCATGGTGTGAAGTTAAATGGGTTAATCTTAAGGTGCAAAGCAATCAAATTCACAACTTAATGGTGATTTCACACAATTACATAATTTGATAAACAATGAGAGGAAAAAACACGCCATTAAACAGATTATGGTTAACTAATGTGGTTGCCAGAGTTTTTTGTTGCATGCAAAATAACCTGTGGTTGAGGTTTTCGTTGACTAAAATTATTATTCTATCTACGTTCTCTCTCTAAATTAATGGAGTTATTTTGAAATAAACAGCTAAGCTTTGACCATGTATTATGGATCATATATGCAATGTAATATTGAAAGTGAGAGGCTCATCCAGGGTTGAAACTTGACTTCTTTTTATTTGTACTGACAAAAACAATTCCCTACCTTGCTGAATTCACCTAATCATGTAGATATATTAAAAAACCATCTGAAACTTTATATTCATCTGTCGTGTGCATTTTTGCTCCTATTTTGTATGATGGACTAAAATTTTACTGTTCTCTGCACTGCAGAGTTTGCAGACTGGTCAGAACTACTCGAATGAGGTAAGTTTCTTTAAATGATTTTGGCTAGAGGATCTGTTTTCAATTTTTTTTTTCGGAAGACGACTATCGGATAGAGTAAAATCACAACTAATAATTGGATAAAATAAAAATGAAGATAAAAGAGACACACAATTTTACGTGGAAAACACATAAATAATATAGGGTAAAAACCACAGGCAACGGTAGAATACTTTCACTATAAGAAAATAGGAATTACAACGTCTCTCGAATTACCAAGGAGAAAACAATGACAATTCTCTCTTGATAAAAAGGAAAAAACAACTCTCAAGAAACTCTCTAAATTCTCTAGTATTGAGAGAAAGCTAGAATGATTTGGGATAGTTTTGAAGATAAATGAGCTAGGGTATTTATAGTTCAAGCTTAAGGACTAATTTATTAATACCCTAAATTACAATGACTAAAAATGATTTTACCATTTTTCAAATTTCCACAAATGTTGCACCTTTTTTACCAATTCCATTCAGTGGAATTGTTTATTGTTCTTTCAATTTTCGATGCATTAATTCTTTTGCACTTTCGGTGCATTTCAACAATCTCCCACTTGAAGATTTGATTGGAACAATCATATCTTCACACCATTCTTTCTACCTTGTACCTTCATGTTGCTTACGTTTCTGACAGGCCACAAGAGGATCTACACCAAGTAAATTTATTAGTATTGATCGTCTTCGTCATAAAATCTGCTATGTTGTCATAGTATGGATCTTCTGCATATCTATCGTTCCTTCTTCTACCTTTTCACGAATGAAATGATATTGAACTCGTATGTGCTTTGTCCTTGAATGAAATATTGGATTCCTTGCTAGATGCAAGGCGCTTTGACTGTCACAAAACATAGAGACATACTCTTGATTGTGCCCAAGCTCTTCCAATAGCATATTCAACCAGATTGCTTCTTTATTGGCTTGTGTAGTTGCTACATATTCTACCTCTATTGTGGATGTAGCCACAACTGACTTCAATTTTGAAACCCATCTTACAGCTTTACCAGCAACTTTGAACACATATCTTGTAGTAGATTTGCTTTTATCCAAATCCCATGCATAGTCAGAATCAACATACCCATTTATAAGTAAATTTGATCCTCCGTAACATAATGCAACATTTGAGGTCCCTTTAATGTATCTTAGGATCCTCTTTACTGTATTCCAATACTCTTTTCCTGGATTCGCCATGTACCGACTAACCACTCCCACTGCTTGTGCAATGTCTGGTCTTGTGCATATCATAGAGAACATTAAACTTCCTACTGCTGATGCATACGGTACTCAAGACATCTTCATCCTGTCTTCTTCACTTCTAGGACTCATACTGTAGGATAATTTGAAGTTAATAGGAAGAGGGATAGAAATTGGCTTACAATCTTGCATGCTAAATCTTGACAAGATCTTCTTCAAGTAATTCTTCTATGAAAGCCAAATCTTCCTATTACTTCTGTCTCGGTGAATTTGCATCCCTAGAATCTTGTTTGCTGATCTCAAGTCCTTCATTTCAAATTCTCTAGCCAGTTGTGCCTTCAATTCTTCAATATGATCTTTGTTGGGTCCTGCAACCAACATGTCATCCACATACAACAGTAATATAACAAAATCGTTATCACCAGACTTTTTAAAATAAGCATAATGGTCTGCATTAAGTCTGTTGTATCCAAGGCACATAATGAATGAATCAAATCTCTTATACCAACACATCGGCGCCTTTTTTAGATCGTACAGAGATTTGTTCAACCTGCAAACCAAGTTCTTTTCTTTTTCTTCAAAACCTTCAGGCTGGAGCATGTAAATCTCTTCTTAAAGATTTCCATGAAGAAAAGTTGTTTTAACATCTAGCTGCTCTAGATGTAAGTTCAATGTAGCACACATTGCCAAGACTACTCGAACTGTTGTTAGTCGAACTACAGGAGAAAATATTTCATTGAAATCAATACCTTATTTTGGAGCATATCCTTTAACCACTAGTCTTGCACGATACCTCTCAACTTGATCGTCACCATTTCGCTTGATCTTGAAGACTCATTTGTTACCAATTGGCTTCCTTACTTGTTGTAGTGGCACAAGGTCCCATGTATTATTTTTATGAAGGGCTTCGATTTCTTCTTGCATCGCCATCATCCATAATGAAGCATCTAAGTTGTTTATTGCCTCCTGGTATGTTGATGGCTCACCGTCCTCTGTTAAAAGGCGGTATGCAATATTACCTTCTATAACATAATCTGAGTACCAATTGGGACTTCTTCTCACATGATCTGATTGACGAGTTGTTGGAGCTTCAGAACTCTCTGGTTCTTGTTCATCATGTGCTTATTATGCTTCAGAAGAATCTCCTTGTTCAAACTCCTTTTCCACATGTATCTGTGTAGTCTCTGACTTTTCAGCGCTACCATCTTCTTCTTTTATTTATAGTTTATCTTCTATAAAGATGACATCCCTGCTAATGATCACTTTGCGGGCAATAGGATCCCACAAGCGATACCCCTTTACACCATCAGCATACCTCAAGAATTTGCATTTCCTGGATTTTGGATCTAGTTTTGAAATTTTTTGGGAGTTGTACATCACGTACACAATACTTCCAAATACATGGAGGTTTGAATAATTAGATGGTTTACCAGTCCACATCTCCAATGGTGTCTTCATCTCTATTGCAGTTGATGGAGCTCGATTGTAACACCCCCAACCCGTACCCGACCCGGATACGAGTATGAGGTGTCACATTGACTTCTCAAAACATTTACTTTTACAAAATACCCAAGATTCAGTTTGTTATTTCTAATAAAACCATTTACTTTTTATGATATAAAACATATGGTTTTACAAAACTGATCAGAGCGTATCTAATACAAATCTTTTAACTACATGTCAACTAAATTCTATATAACAAAATACATGTTATTCATTTAGGTTCTGACCTGACCTTCGGTAAGGAGAAACTAACATGTCTTGCTCCTCTTAGCTTCTCTTCCTTCTTTCCTGAACCTACGTGTGAAACACTCACACGCTAAGTCATAGACTTAGTGAGACATATAAATACATATGTAAATTATCAAATGCATTCACATATCATGTAATACAACGTCATACTTGTATACATACTTTTTCATGTAACAATTACATACACACATGCATATCATCATTTATATTTTCTCATACTCTTATATGATTATCCTTTCTATCTTTTATCTCTTGTTCATATGATCTCTTATTTTCATATTATATATCTTTTAACATATTCTTACATCATCATATGAGTCATTTATATTCATTCATATATATACATTAACATATATTCATGTACATCACATAACAAATGACATAACTCATAACACACATTCTTTCATGTAACATATACACACATTCACATATATCATCATATAAAACATGTAACACATTTCTCAGTACAACTCACGTTTTATTATTATCTTTTTGGTTTGCCCATGCACATTACTGATAACTTAAGGTATGTGAGTACATAGAGGTTGTGCACTATACTGTCACCACAACTTGTATAATTCCCACTAGGGGCGCATAGAATTTGTCCCGGAGGACCACTTAGATGTCCCGAAGGACCACATATAACACATATGTCCCAAAGGACCACTATGTCCCAAAGGACCGCGTAGACCCTCGACTCTTGGCATGCCAACTATACCTATAGCTCTCATAACACATGACATGTGCATTATCTTTTACCTCATTACACATTCACATATTCATATCACATAGTTCTTTCACATAGCTCTTTATCACATTTCATATGATCACATAGTCACGTAATTTACTTTCACGTAGCATTTTTCCATGAAATTCACATTATTCATCCTTTTCACACATGGTCACATCACATATATCATATTCATATCACATAACATGTAAGCTCACTATTTTTATCCCTATCAACAGTATATGTTCATATAGTCTCATTACTACATATTCATTTCATTATTTATTTCCTTATCACATTGTTTATTTTATTTCTCCTGTTCTTATGTAAGCACATCTGTCATGTCTTGTTTACTTATGTTCATATGTATATCATATAGCTTATGTGACATATATGTCACTTATATTAGTTCCTATGTCTTATCACACTAACATATATTCATACAAATCATATCACACATACGATAACATATAACTCATAACAAGCATATGCTCATGTTCATGAATCCATACATA